TCTTTTTAGTGCCTTATTTTGCTTTTTTTGCAAACCTAGTGCCTTTTCCTGCCTTTTTCGCTATTTTGTTTTGCCTTTTTTGCAATACCTAGTGCCATTTCCTGCCTTTTTCGCTATTTTATTTTGCCTTTTCCAGCCTATTTCGTTATTTTATTTTGCCTTTTTTATAGGTTTTTAGGTCCTAAAAATCCGTTCCCTTATTATGACATATATATCTTTGTGGAAACTTGGCTTAATAGTATTTTCAGTTAAGAACATTTTGATTCCAACATTTTCCGGACTTATAGGAATGACCGCTGAAATGCTGAAAAAACTGGCAACTTCAAAGGTGGTGGTGTACTAATTGCTTTAAGGCGTAGCTTAAGGTCGTCATTTTTTTAATTGCTCAACCACGGTACGTTAATTGACCAATTATGTGTGCCTTACCCCAACCAACGTTACTCGTTCGCATGAAATAAACTTTTTTGATAGTCCTTTTAGCCTTAATCTTACGCAAATTAATTGCATATTCAATAAGTTATCTAAATTATTAGATCTAGAGTTTGTAGACGAAAATTTGATATCTAACCTCTCTGAATGTAAGACTCCGATCTGTTATCCTGATATGCATCATAATCCCCTTATCTTTTCTTTAGAGTTTTTTGATAAGCTTCCCTTAAGGCAAAATAATAGGATTTCCTACAATTTTCGTGATGCAAATTACGACGTCTTAAAACTGGATATAAATTACGTAAATTGGTGTGATATCTTCAATTCAAAAGATGTTAATGCCCCTTATGAAACCTTTCTTTGCATTATGTCTGAAGTCTTCCCTGAGCGACAGGCTGCTACATGCGCCATATGGCAAATATACACAATACTCATCTCAAAGAGCAATACCTTAACTATGCGAAACAGTTTAATGTTCTTGATAAATTTCTTTATAACCAGTACATTAGGAGACTTGATTCTGAACTTAAAGTCAACCCAAAAGCTTTTTGGAATTTCGTACGCTCTAAGCGGGGCAGTTCTAATATTCCGACTTGCATGTACTTTAACGTTCAATCTTCGAAATATCTACCAGATACTGTGGAACTTTTTGCAAAATTTTTCAGCTTGAATTTCGCCTGTGAGAGTGATTCCATAAATCTACCACGAAACTACTGGCCGATCCAACGCCTAGATCTTGGCTTGTTGACTGTATCGACATCTGACATTACTTACGCCATGTCCACCCTAACTCCGACATTGAAATGGGATTCTGATGTTTTTTGTGCCCACTTCGTTAAACGATGTAGTCTGTCATTATGTATTCCTTTATGTCATAGGTTGAATAACCTATCACTTTCGACTGGATTATTTATTAACCCCAGTCTTTAAATCTGGAAATAGAAATGATATCACAAATTATAGGCCTATTTCGAAANGTCTTTAAATCTGGAAATAGAAATCATATCACAAATTATAGGCCTATTTCGAAACTGTCTGTCTGCTCAAAGCTATTCGAGTGATACATTTTAAACTCTCTTTTCTTGCCAAAAGAATGATTGAGCCCCACCAACATGGTTTTGTAGCTGGTCGTTCAACGGTCACTAATTTAGCTTCTTTTTCAGAATTTTGTGCTTCTTCCGTCAGAGATGGCTCGCAGGTATACACCATTTATGCGGAGTTTTCTAAAGCCTTCGATAAGGTACCACACCTAATATTGCTACACAAGTTGGAGTGTATTGGTGTTCACTCTAATATCCTAGCTTGGTTAAAGTCTTACCTTACAAATAGGACTCTGTCTGTATATATCGATGATTGTAAATCTAATCCCTTTGTTGTAACATCAGGTGTACCCCAGGGTAGCATTCTTGGTCCCCTATTGTTTGTCCTGTTTATAAACGATATTAGCTCCTGTTTCAAACACTCCAGTTTTTTATTGTATGCCGATGATTTAAAACTCTTTCGTAGAATAACGTCCTCATCTGATGTTCTCTTTCTTCAGGAAGATTTAGATCGTCTTTTAAATTGGTGTGAATATAATAAACTGTCCTTGAATGTGTTGAATGTAAAAAAGTGCCTTAAGATGCCCTTATCTAAATCTCAAAATACCCTTACTTCAAATTACTACCTCTGTTAGTGAGGGCTTGTTCGAGTTGTAATCACAACCGCAGAATTATTAAAGTATCACGTTCTGTGTGAATTTCTAGCAATGTATTATCAGTTGGGGAGTTGCCCATGTTGCCATTTTTCATCCGTACGGCAGTAATGCCGCTTTTATTACGTGCCTCGAACAGGCCCTGAATTGGTTGATCTTGGTGCTGCGTTTGACTCGAATTTTTCATTTGTAAATCATGTTTGTCACTTGCTTCCAAAAGTTTATAGTAATTTAGCATTTATTCGTAGATATGCCTATGATTTTAGAGACCCTTACACTCGGAAAGCATTATTTAATTCCTTAGTGCGATCTAAACTTGAGTATGCCTCTATTATATGGAGCCCTATTTATAATTGTCACGCTTCTAGGATTGAGCGAGTTCAAAGGGGTTTATTCGATTTGCCCTCGCTTCTCTTAACTTCTCAGATCCGATTCCTTCATATTACTCCCGGTGTAAACTAATAAATTTGCTATCGTTGGAAAATAGAAGGCGTACCCAATTACTCTTATTCGTCTTCGATCTTATCTCTGGCTCCATTGACTGCCCATCTTGAGCAGGTTACCTTTAATGTGCCTCTCAGAACTTTCCGCTCTCGCATCTCCTTTTACGTTCCTGCCGTTAAGTCTAACTACTCATCTTTTGCGCCTATTTTTCGAGGCCTTGTGGAATTTAACAACATCTCAAAGAGCTTAGATATCGACTTTTCGTTTCCAAGAAGTCTTTTTAAATTATCTCTTGAAACCTATTTTCGTAATTGTACACATACTAGTCACAGTTAATACTTTTTAGCCTACTGCTAGTCTGTAAGATTGTAAATCATAGACTGAATAAAGATGAATATGAAACTTGGTAAGGATGTTAAGGGAGGTATCCTCTAAAACATGTATAACTAAAATATATAAACAATATCATTTGAGGTATTCCCACGACAGTCGGGTCTACGTAACCAGAACGACCCAGATTATAACTGGCCAAGGACTGTCACTCCAGCAACACTCCCCAAAAACCCTTTGGGGAACTTGTATGCTGCTACAACAACAACAACAGGTATTCACAACCGTGCCGTAAGTGTAGTATTGTAGTATGTCGTAAACTTGAAACGCCTAAAATATATTAAGAGGGTTCGCAAAGTACCATCAAAGTCATATTATAAATTTTCGCAGTGTTAAAAAATAGTTGGTTGTGGTTTTAAGTTCTCTTAACATTTATTTAAGCTTTTAAAGTTTACGCTATAAAACAATACGACGCTTACGACCCCGTTGTGAGTCCCCCAACTGTGTATAAGCAGGGAACGGATTTTTAGGACCTAAAAACCTATAAAAAAGGCAAAATAAAATAACGAAATAGGCTGGAAAAGGCAAAATCAAATAGCGAAAAAGGCAGGAAAAGGCACTAGGTATTGCAAAAAAGGCAAAAAAAGGCAATACAAAATAGCGAAAAAGGCAGGAAAAGGCACTAGGTATTGCAAAAAAAGCAAAACAAGGCAATAAATAAAATTATAGTTAAAAAACTAAAAACATGCTTATATTACAACAAGAACTAAAAACTTTATAATAATATTTAGATATAGTGATTCCTTTCTAAATATGAACCACATCAGACTATAAATGGGGGTTTTACAAATACATATCTCATCAAATCAGACTTTAGATGCGGGTTTTACAAATATCTCGACTCCTGCGTCACCCTGCATTGTCCTCGAGTTCTGAGCTAAGTTTGAAGTTTCAAGTCTGTATCTTATCGGGAAGTTTGTTAAATATTGACTGCAAAGTTCCAGGACATACAAAGATACATGCATACATACATACATACATACAAGTGAAGTTAAATAAAAGCTTGTAAAAAAGACAGCAAATACGAAGAACAATCAAAAAATACATTTATTTTAGAAATGTTTATATTACAAGTAAAAAGAGTAAAACTATGAACTAGTTTCAATATATGAAAAATTTGTACTTTGAATCTCTGACTATTTTATCCTTTCGAGTTTCTAACTCATAAAGCTTTAATCTGAATAGTTGTATAACATTGAACCACAAGATGCATTTTGAAGTTTCCTGGCAGCATTTTCATTCGATTTTCGCGAAGAAAAGCCTTGAATGTACTAAATGTGCGCTCGACGTAAGTTGATACAAATGGAGCCCAAATTAAATATGGAACGTTTAAAACGTTCATATTATCAGCAATAAGGGCGTTTTCCTCGCCCTTTACAATTTTATCCACACCCCTTATTAGTTGTGTTTTTTTACAAATTATCCAGTAACTCGCCAGCAACTCTCCAGTAACTTTATTTCTAAGAATTCGCTCTCATAGAAAGAATTTGCAATAAAGTACGCGAACGCTTTTCCAGTATTAATTTACAAGTTTCATGAACAGCTGATAAATTGATTGTTTATTCGCAGCAAATTCCTAATAAAACAATATATTTTGTATTTTAATAGGTTTATTTTGTGAAATTCAACAATAAAAACCCGCAAACAGTTTCCTTATTAGTTTAAATTTCATCCAGCAACATGTGACCAGCTGTTTTTCGTACTGGCAAATTCTTGCAAGTAAAAATTTATCCAGTAAAATCCAGTAAAAACTTGCAACTTCAACTGTCATTTTTCGGTCTCTCAATTTCCCGTACTTTGCAAGTTTTTGCACGAAAACGCCAAAACATGAAAATTCGTAAAAACTTTT